TTCTGTCTTTCCAACGACAAAGGGCCGCTTGGGTGAGGACCTGAGGCCAAGGAGGAGTTGCCCGAGTGGATGAGTCAGGGAAGGGCAGTCCACAGAGAGAACAGCATGTGCGAAGTTGGTGAGGGAGAGAGCCTCATGCAGGGCAGCTCTGGGCATCTAGAGCAGAAAGTAAAGTGGGGACAGCAGATGATGAGGTGGGCAAGGTTAATCTTGTGCCGGGGTTTAAATCATGCAAGGCCTTATAAGCCACGTGAAATACATTGGCCTTTATCCTAAGGGTCTTAGGCACCAGAGACCAGACTTAAGCAGGAGAAATACCCATTTATTTCTCCATCAAGGTGCTTTTCTCAACCCTCCTAGCCTGGACAGAGAGTAATCCTCTCTCCATTCATCTTGGCTCTGGGACAGGTCATGGCTGAGCTCAAAGGCACCTGAGTATAGGGGACTCCAGGAAACAGGAAGAAACTGATGTCCCAGCTCTTATAGGACCATTAAGAAATGTCACGAACAAGCAGGCTGTGATGGCATTTTGGTTCCATAGGATGAGCAAACATCCGGATAGGAATCCTGCCAAGGAGCTGTGCTAGCAGGAAGCGGCAGGGTGAATGGGGCCTGCCAACAGGGAGGAGGGATGGGAGGGATGTCATCAGGCCAGCAAAGCCCTCATAGACAGGGGGCGTCCCTGCCTGACACCCCTTTCAAGACTGGTAGATGGCAGCACCCTCACTTTACACGGGAGGAAGCCAGGGCCCAGAGAGGTGTGCCCCAAAACACACAAGTACCGAGTGACAAACGCAGGTCTGTCTGATGGACCCAAAATCCATCCTGTTTCCTGATGTCACATGCTTCTTCCTCCCTGGTCCTCTCAAGACCAAGGCCACAAACACTGCCCCATGCTCAGCCTAGTATTTGCATCTTCTGGCAAGACTTTAGAGTAGCTGAGAAAGAGGCTCTAGCAGCCTCAGACTCACAGACGTCCAGCTTAGAGTCATCAGGGAAAAAATAGCTTCTCTCTCCCCAGTTTCCAAGATCTGTCCCAGGAAAAACTCTGATTGGCCTTCCTTGGGTCACATGCCCCCTTATGACCCAACCCCAGAGAAATCACAGTGCACTGACTGACCAGCTCCTCTTGACAGGATGGGGGGCTGTGATGGGTGTCCCCTCATCCAGGACCACAGGTAGGTGTTTAACCTTGATTTGTGGGGAAGGGGTCAGGAAAGTCTTCCCAGAGGAAGTGACTTCTCCACTGAGACCTGAAGTCTAAGTAGGAATGTTCCAGGCAAAGAGACAGACAGGGACTAGCAGTACAAAGGCTCAGGGATGCTTCCGAGCATGTCTTGCTCATAGCCATACCCCCTGCCTAATGCACAGCCTGCCTTCCCGTGACTGCTCAGAGACTGCTTCAGAAATGAAATCCATAAGTGGCTGTGTGGCCTTAGACAAGTCACTTGCCTTCTCTGAACTTCAGCTTCCTTCTCTACACAGTGGTTTCATTGTCCTAATGTTTCAGGACTATGCAAGAATCCTGTTCATTCAGGCCCCAAATATTCATGGAGCACTTCCTCTGTGCTCAGCATTGTACGGGGCCTGCAGGAGACCAGGCCTGCCCTAGAAAAGGAAAGCCTGCTTGCAGCTTATGCACACGGCCAGACCTGCTACCAGAAATCCAGTGGGGTCCAAGGGGAGGGGCAGGACAAAGGGAGAGGTTCAGGGCAATGAGGTTGGACCACGGTTCTGCCTTCCCCCTCCCCACCCCTCCACCTCCATCCCCACCTTTCCACCCTCCACCCTCCCACCCCACCAGCCCTGTGACCACATACCACCCTGGGGCCACGATATGTGTTCAAGGGCAGTCAGACCTTTCTCCCTGTGCCTTTGCCCCACAGCTCTGCAACCTGAATAACAAGTTGCGACAGACATACTCGCAGGAACCAGTAAGAAAGAAACTTTTGGGTTTGGGTGGCTACGCAGGGAATTCTTGCCACACCCTGCGTACCAGTCCCCAGCGCCTTTCTCCCTCCCTCCCCGCCCCCAGCAGACCAGGTCCTGGAAGCCAGGACTCTGGAGCTGAAGCCTCCAGAGCACCTACAGGCTGACAGGGTGAGCCGGCTGGGGACTCAGGAGACTGGAGAGCCCTGCAGGTGCTGAGGGGACAGTCGGGGACTCAGCCAGGAGGGACACTGAGCTGGAAGAGTCCTCACCGCCCCTTCCCCTCCCTGCCCCCCTGCCCTGAAACCAGAGTCCCTGCTTGGCATGGGCAGGACAGCACGAAGCTAGCCCCTTACCCAGGTATGTATCCCAGCCTCTATCTCTGTCCTCTCTCCCGTCTCTCTCTGAATGGCACTGTCTGTTTCTCCCTCTGAATCTAGGTGAATGCATATCCTGAGTATTTGCGCTTTGCCTCTGCCCCTTTATCTGTTTTCCTCTGTCCCTGCCTTATTCTTTCTCTGTGTGTCCCTCTCTGTATCTCTGCCAGCCCCGCTTCCCCTTGCCCTTTGTCTCTCCAAGTTCTGTCTCCGGCATGCTCTCTGTCAATATCGACGTCTGTCTAGTCATCTGTGCACCCTCATGCACCTGACCCTGTTCCCATCCTTCCATCCGTCTGGCCCCCAGCTCCACGGGACATCCTTCCAACGTCATCTGTGGGCCTGCGCTCCCAGACTCTAGGTCAGATCCCATGAACATTCAAAAGCATAATATACTCTTTGTATCTGAACAAAAGGCGGGGGGTGATCATTTGAATTTCAGGAAGTTAAAGTTCGAAAAAATCTCTGTGGGTAGGGTTCAGGCACCAGCTCACCTTTCTTACCTGGAAGGACCTAGACAGCAGGCCAGAGTGGGTGGGAACATTTTCATACTTATCAAAAGGAAATGTAGATTTGCTCTTGCTTTTGTTTAAATATCAAGGACCGACTCAGCCCAACTGCCTCAATGGCAGGCAGTAAGCCTCCTGTCTCTTATCTGGGTCCTTGGTGGTTGGGCTTTGGGGGCCATGTCTGTTGAGATGGATTCTCAGGATAAAGAAGATTCTTGAGTGGGGAGTGGAAGAGTCGTGGGAGCAAGTCCTTGCAGTCAGAGCCCCTCCAGCTGGCTAGAGACTTGAAACAGTTACCACCAGCTTTACCCTCCCCTCCCCTAGGTTTCTAGAGACCTACTGGGGGTCTTCACAGCTGCTGAATCGCTGGTAACTGCCCAGGACCTCGGGGGTGGCACAGGTGAAAGTTGGGACCTAGGGCTCAAGAAGGGATGAAACTCCAGTTTCAACTCTCCTCTGAGACAAAAGGCCCTGGCAGTGGGACCCTGTGGGGATTGGGCAGTGGAGACCTGCATCCAAATTCTGGCTGTGACCCTTACAAGCTGAATAACCCTGGGCTTAACCATGGTGAGTCCTGGTTTACCTACCCCTAAAATGGGGAAGTGTGAGGATTAAAGGAGGTAATTGCATATATAGCCCCCGGAGCAAACTCACCTATAATGTGAGCGTTCTCATTACTCTTCATGTTGGCACTTCAGCAGAAATCACTTGAGCTTCTGTTTCCTGGGTGCTTTTACTGGAGCTAGCTAGCTCAGTGTCTCTCAGCTGGCTGGAGGGATGGTGGGATGGATGAATGGAAGAGTGGAAGGGTGGAAGGGTAGACGGATGGAAGGGTGGAAGGGTAGA